GAGTGCAATACATGCATGACATTATACATGGCTGTTTTATACATCATCAGGAAGACTTGCGACAAGTTTACCTTATTTATATCAGCATGATATTATGTCATTGTTATAACTTCGACATGACATTGATATGTCACATTATGAAATTATAATGCATTGATCATGGAAAATGTGATATTTTACCATGAATGTTTTTGGGTATGAATTGCCCAATGTTAAATTATGATAATATACTTTTTCATGGATGGATTAAATAAAATAGACTATATGCCCAAGTAAGTCATTGAGGGACAGGGTATAGTTGGCATGCCATAGAGTATAGCAGCTGTATGTTTATAATACACTTCGGTGTATATGGTGGGCACGACCTTATGTGTAATACACTTCGGTGTATATGGTGGGCACGACCTTATATGTAGCACTACGGTGCAAATATTACTCGAATACCCAGGGTCCTCAGGGTTTTATATTGGGCTATTGTCTATTGTTTATGGTTTATTGGTTAATAAATGGTAACCATGCAAATAAGCTTACGAGCTTATGGAATAATGACAAGTATATTGGTAAAATAAGCTTACGAGCTTATGGGATAAATGGCAAGTATATTGGTAAAATAAGCTTACGAGCTTATGGGATAAATGATAAGTATATTAATAAAATAAGCTTACGAGCTTATGGGATAAATGGTAAGTATATTGATAAGAAATTTTATATTATTTTGATCATGGTAAAATATTGGAAATACAGGTAATATGATTTTATGACATTTTGAAGTTGACATTGAAATTCATGCATGAGTTGTATTGCACTGTTTATTGTTTTATTTTGCCTCAGTAAGTACATACTTACCGTGTGATGATTTTCACGCGTAGGTAAAATGCCAAGAATAGAGTAAAGAGTACAAGGCACTCTGAGCATCCATGAATACACTACAATATCAATAAGAAATCCTATGATGGAATTTTAACTTTGTTAGTGGCATGTAATTATTAATGTCCTAGTTGCTCTGTTAAATTATTTTGCAACTGGTTTGTAATGGTTAAACTAAACTGGTTTACTCTGATTCAATATGGATAGCATAAATCTATATTAATATATATTTTAAATAGTATGTGATAATTTGATATGATATTTTTATAATATCATTTACCATTTTAAGAAAATAAATTTTAAATCACTTTTGAAGCAGAAAAAGTCTTACGAAATCCAGGTGACATCTATAATTTGTATAGGTATAATTATACGGGTTATGGGTGTTACAGTTTCTAATTCATTAATAAACTTCTTCTATGATAACATAGCTATTATTTTTTTACATTTATAAGAAAAATAATATTTTATTATTTTTTTTGCATAACTCTCAAATTTTCTACGAAATTTGTGAGATGAGATAAGTTTGATTTTTTTTTTAAAACATAATGCTATCAATTTATTAATAGTATCCTTTTAATTAAAAAGGTGCAAAATATATCAAAAAGTAAAGAAAATATTTTTGCATGTAACATAGTTTAATAATGTTTTTTTTGCATATAAATAAAAACAATAATTAAATTTTTTGCATATAGTTTACAATAATAATAATACCACAAGTCCTGATTTTTTGGTTTTTAGAAATTTTAAAAATATAAATAAAAAATTATTATTTAAAATTTTACTATTTTAAGTATCTTAATTTAATAATACAATAGAAACATGTTTTGGTATTCAATATGGATAGATCTTGGATGTTCAATATTAATAGGCTAATATTATTAATCCTGATTTTGAGCAGTCACAGTTGGAGTTCAATACATTTGTGTTATGTAAGCTTGTATTTGCGGATCGAGGAAATATTACGTGTCCATGTAATCAACCTAAATGCAAAAATAAAAGTTTTTTAGATCTAGAAACGGTTAAAATTAATGTGATCACCGAAGGGTTTGTTCAACATTATTACAATTGGGTGCATCATGGAGAGCCACATTTTTCTCACTGGTTACTATAGGCATATGATGAGATCTAGTACTCCAATTCCGGAGTATGCATATGATCCATGTGGTAACAATCATAATTCCTATGAAGTAGATATTGGTGGTCCTGAATTAAATGCATATATGGTAGAAGATGATCAACCACCAATTGGTTCAATACATATATTTTACGATAGAATTGGTGTTTCTTCTGAACCAATATGACCCGATAGCAATGAGTCTAAGTTATCAATGGTTTTCAAATTAATACACTTGAAAGCACAATATCGGATTCCTAATGTGTGCTATGATAACCTTTATCAAATAATGCATAAGTTAATGCCCGAAGATATTGTCATGCCTGAATATTATCTTATGTTTTGTTGAATTGTAATGATTCAATAATTTTATTTTCTTATCAATGAAAAGACAACAAAGTTAGTGCACTTTTCATTCCTTAAGATTTAGAGGGAGGTTTTTAGAGACAACTATCTTGTTTGTTTTAAAAAATAAAATTATATTTTTACTTTTCTTTAAAATTATGCACAATATAACTACTTGTATATATTACAAAAGAAACAAAAGGATTATTATTCTATTTTTATTTTATGTGATAATTTTAAAAGTATTTTAATTTTGTGACGGAACTTGTGAACCATCAAAAATTTGTGAAGGGTCCACATGTTCCGTCACAAAATTTAGAGTTTTGTTTATTTATGCTCATTACCTCCAATTTACCTCCATTGAAACATAAAATTTGTGGAGGGTACACATGTTTCGTCACAAAATTTAGAGTTTTTTTAATTACCCGCTCATTTTCTTCAATTTCCCTCTATTGAAACATGAAATTTGTGACGAGTCCACATGTTCTTCACAAAATTTAGAGTTTTTTTAGTTACCCGTTTATTTCTTCCAATTTCTCTACATTGAAACATAAAATTTGTGATGGGTTCACATGCACAAAATTTAGAATTTTTTACTTACTCACTCATTTCGTTCTATTCGTTCAATTTCCCTCCATTGAAACATAGATTTTCAAACATACCTATTTTGTACCCTATTTTTTCTATTTAAACCTTTCTAAACTCATTTTTCTCTAATTTCTTTCTTCTCATTTCTTCTCTTCTTATCATCTCATTTTTTCATAAAAAATAATTTAGATAATACTTATTGAAATTACATTTTATTACAATCTATTTTACTAAATTTTTAAATAATTTTCAAAAATTTTAATTTGGCTATTTAGACATCTAATTTGGCTTACATAGCTCGCTAGCTCGATCTCTCCAATCTAGTTTAGATTTTTCATTTCAACTATTCAAATAAATGTGACCACTCGATTTGGCTTGTTCATCTTCATGTTGCTGCTTGTGGCATTGGAATTCAATATATGGGAGTTACTGCGGGAAACATATTTTTTCTGGTCAGTGTACTTGGTAAGGGACTGGATGATTTTTTATATGATATTTTTTAAATTATTTTTTATAAAAAATATTTTAAAATTTTGACGGAATTTGTGGACCCATCACAAATTTCTGACAAATCCACATATTCCGTCACAAATTTGTGAACGGTCCACATGTTTTGTCACAAAAAAAACATTTTTTAGAAAAAAAATATTTTAAATTTGTGACGAAATTTGTGACGGGTCTACATGTTTTGTCACAATCTTTTTTATTATTGAAATTGTATTTTTATGTATAGTTTTCAACCATTTATTTATATTTATTAGAAGCATTGAATTGTGAAATATATGTTGTAAATTCATATTTAATCTTAGTTAATATGGTGGATTTAAGTTTTCATCATATATTATTATTTTCTTATTAAGGACTTGTTAGTATTATTATTATTATTTAATTTCTTTTAAATTAATGTAATTATTTCAATTATATTATTATTATTAATTTTTTGTACATTATTTAGTTAAATAAAAATTTAGATTCATAATATTTTGGAGGGAATAAAAATTTGGATTCATAATATTTTGGAGGGAATGGAAATTTAAATTTCTGACGGAAAACATGTAATCCATTGGAAATTAAAAATTCATATTTTTTTTATGTTTTTAAATATCCCAACTAAAAAGATATGTTCGTCGGAAACATAATATATATTATTTTATTTATATATAACATTCTGACAGATTTTAAATTTTTCGTCAATAATATATTGATGGATTTCCGTCATTAAACTTCTGACGGATTACTTTATTCCCTCGGAAATATTGGTTTCAACCAACATATTACTGACCACTCTCTTCTCTCAAAAATTCCGTTAATAAAACTAAATCCCGTCAAAAATTTTCTTGAAAATTCCATCAGTAATTAGACATTTTTTTTGTAGTGCATCCTTCGGTACGAAGCTATTTTGTTGATTCGAAAGAATACTTTTGTTACAGGAGAAAAACTCCCTCTATTCTTCACCAGATGAAGTTAAAAGCTTGGTCAACCAAGTCCTTTCTTGGGATATTCATTCGGGATCTCGACGAAACCGACCTCATAGTGATCTCCTAAAAGTTGGAACCGCAGAAGCCTCAGATAGTACTTTGGGTTTGGATGATTCCCAAGACGGACAAGTGGCTGATTCCGAAGAGTTAATGTATCACCTGGTTTTGGATGGAATGGATTTCTCTTACGAAATTGGTGGCAACGGCAATGTCATCGTGAAGGAAGTCCGTCGCTAATCTTCCGTATCGTTCAGTAACGAAAAAACTTGCAATTACTCAATGTGGAAAGGCAAACTCGAGTAAGTGTTTGCTTTCTAAAAGGCCGGACGTTATTCCTATTTCACTAATGTTGATTTTGTCCGAACATTGGATTTTTGCTGCAAGGCTAAAAATCAAGCTTAAAAAGCTGTGTTATTTTCTTTGGAGGATGACAATGTCGCCGGTAATTGGTTTCCCTTGTCAGTTTTACTGTAATTCATTCGATTAAATCCTTTTATTTAGTATATTATATATATGAACTTGATTTCATAATTCGATAGAACTTTGATTCGAGAACACCTAGTATAAGACTGATTTGAAAGTAAATATCATTTTGCATCATGTTCAACAATGGAACAAGCTTTATTTCATTAATGGAACTCATCAAATTACTTACAAACAAACTTAGCCTCAAATTTATCAATTGCAGAAGTATAGTTTCTATGAACAGAACATTTCTCGAATCTGTTGTGTCTTTACAACGATGCTCGGCTTATGGGACACAGCTGACTCTTGTTTCTCCATTCTAGCCATAGTATTTGATTCCTTTTAACTCAAACATGTATACGCTTGTTACGAAGAACACATCAACTCTGGGCATTTAGGTTTAAAACAGAAGAAAAACTATTATGATCAGCAGTACAACAGAGCATACCATTGCCTGCAATAACAAAGCCGGGCCATGGAACACGGGTATGAACAAACATTGAGAAGGGCAGAGAATGTTTGATCATTTCGAAAGTTATTTACGAGAGGAGAAAGGGAAAGACAGAGACTGGGAGCACTTACAGCGATTGCAGAGGCAGCAAGACCAGCTCTCTCTCTCGGATCTTTACGGTAGTGATTCCCGAAATAGATAAATGTAGCATAGTACCACATCAACGGACATAAAAATCCTACCAGGAAGCTGTAAGAAACATGACATGAGAAATGGAAAAAACTGCTGGAAGAAGCATGGTGAGGAAGTGCAAAAAGTACTCACGAAAACCATCCGATACCGCACCCAAAGCACGGGAGAGGCTTGTCGAAAACCCCTGTTTGGAAGTCCTCCACGTCTTTGATAAGTGTATACTTGCCTTTACCTGCATCTGGCGCTTGCCATACCATCTTAGCTTTACATCTTGATTCATGTAATATACTCGTATAAATAATACGACGCACTATCGATGACCAATTAAACGTAGCAATCTACGGAAAAATAAAGGCTTAACAGAGTCCCTACCCTTAAATAGTGAATAGTATCGAGCAGATGGCCTCAAAAGATCAAGATGTTTATCAGAGAGTGATTTTGAAACCTCGAGACTGTTTCTTGAATTCCCGGATTCTTCCACAGTAGTGCCTGTGACATTGTTAATCATGTTATTGTTTGGAAACTAATTATCAGATTCATCCCGAAGAAAAGAAATTCCTGACATAACATACGGCACCGAGGAAACTGGCTATATAAGACAATGTAATATTTCCGAAATGGAAAAGAACAAGCTTTTAGGAGCAAATATAATCGAACAGCATCACAGAAACATAAGTTCCTAAATTAAAAGGAGGGCATATTAGAAGTTAGATAAGTAAAGATGGAGAAAGACTTTGATTACTTTGATCCATGTGCGTCGGAGATGGCTAAAACTCCTCGGTGTATGCTCAACGGACGAAATCCCTGGTTCGAATGATGATGAAAAAACCTCAAATTCAGATAGTAAGAACGATCAATTACGGAATAACTACAAGTGTACTTTTGCAAAACAACAAGAAAAGAAGCAATCTGGAATCATGGACAGAAGAGATAAAATCCAGGTGCAACACAAAACACTAAATGTGCTCTCTCAACCCGATTACACAACCTAGAAAATAACATTCACCGACCGCCCCTTCCACTTGAGAGTCTTCAAATCAATCGCAGGTTTTGCAATTTTTTAACTAACCTATGGGCTGCACTGCAAATTTCTAGACCGAGCTAAAACAAAATTCAGGTCACAATATCTAACAAATAATTCAATGGAAATTTTGATATATGATCCAAACTTGCTATTATATCAGCAGATAAGCTTGCATAGAAGCAAATTAAGAACTAAAAAGGAAACATTTTCTGTTCCATCAGAGTTCATGAATTCAAAATCAATGCTTTTTGGGGAACTTTTCTATGATCAATCTTATGACAGAGTTCATGAATTCAAATAAAATTAGAAATTAACCATCGATACCTACTAACATCTAGGTTTATATTTCTCAACTGATCTCTCCGGGAACATAAAGAAAGAACATTGACCCAAAAAAAGGATATTAATAATAAAACTGATTACAAATCTATAAAAAAATTTCCAAAAAAGGGTTCAGAACACAGAATCTAAAACAAACAGATCAGAAATTCAAAGAGAAAGGGAGAAACTTGCCTGTGAAGAACTCTGAACTGGATGAGTGAAAGTTTGGGTTGATTGTTCTTTATGTAAATCGAGGGAAAGAAGAATTTTTTTTTTGAGGAAATGGTTTAGATGACAAGCAAAGCCGAAAAATTATATTTCTGTTCGAAAATTAGCCAGACTTTGACTTCTGGTTGATATCTTTTGCATTGAAACCTTAAGGATGAACTATATATTTCATCACTCATATTTCTTTTTGTTCTTATTTTGGTCATTAATTTTTAAAATTTCCAATTTGTTCATTGAACTGTCGGTTTACTCTTATTTTTAATCAATCCTCTATAAAAAAGTTAGGCACGTTATGACTAAACAATTTTCTTTTAGAAAATATGAACTCAAATATGTCTTATTGTTATGAAAAATTTTAGTTTTAAATTTTCTTTGATTTCACTATAATGAAACATCTTATTTTAAGTCTCAATGTAAGAAAATAGATGAGGTAGTGAGCTATTAATATTGATCTAATGACGTATATTATATATCATAATAATTTAGGATCTCATAAGTTTTGAATTTAGTGTTGAATATCACAAGTTTTAAAAATGATTTAGGTAAAATCTAAATTGATAGAGTAGTAGAAGACAATGAGATCAATTTACGAATTTCTTGGATAATCAACAAAGATTTTATATAATGGTGATTACAACATCGACGTGACATAGAGATAAAATTGTAAATTTTTCAAATTTTAAGTAAAAATAAAGAAAATAGAAAATAATGTGGTTGACCATGGATTTTATGTCAATAAAAAACATTCTACATCAATACATGTAACTTCCATGTCATCATTTTATTTATGATTTAGCACCAAGTGATTAAAAAAAGTAAATTGACTGGTTTATGATTAAATTGAAATTTTAAAATTTTAGTGACTAAGCTAGGAGTAAAAAGAAAGTTTAGTGATGAAATTTGTCATTTACCCAAATCTTAATTATGTTAGAAAATTATGGTGAAAAGATATTTTATTTTCTTTGCTTTTCTTACTTTGTTATTATCCTTATCATTGCTTGTAATGAAATAAACATGTCTGTTAGTATTGCTTACGTTCTATTCGATAGCTACCGCGAAAATTATTGTAATGAAAATTGCTTTTCTTAATTGGATCGCGCTTGAAATGACAACTAAATCCTTAAATTATTTGAGTTGTTGGTGTTACTTAAGTTAATTAGAAATTTTAATTCGGATTTTAAATGCGAATAAAATTTGAATGTTAAAAATTAAAATAATATAATTTTAGACTTTTAATCTCTAGTTATTTTGCTTAGGAAATTTTTTACGAAGCTCGACGAGCAGCGATGAACACCATTAACAATGAACACCGATAAATTAACTTACAAAATGTTAGAATTATAAAGTACTCAACGTATATTATATTTTAGTTGAAAATAAAACTGTAATTTTAAAGAAACTATAATATTAATTACATTATTAATTTTTTTCTTATAATTAAATCAAATAATAACCCCAAAAGTTTTTATTTTCTTATCGTCGTTGCCGCCGCCGTCGCAACCATCGCCGCCATCATACTCCGTTTTATTGAAATCATATTCTTGTTCCCAAATTAGAAAATTTTAAGGATCTAATTGGTAATTTTCTCAAAAAGAATTTTTATTGCATAAATGGATAGTTTAATCTTGAGAGTGGTGTTTTATTGAAATCATATTCTTGTTCTGGAAATTGTGTTAAAAACTAGAAATTGTTAAACTCTAGTAAAAATTTGATAAATCAGATCGAATATAAATTTTAAAAAAATTTGAAGGATGATAAATTAAGCTTAGAAATATTATTTCCACATTTTAAAATGATGGAAAATAATATGGATCATTGGATTTGAATATTTATTTCCATGTTTAATTTGGACCGTTTGATCAAAGTGGTAAGATTACAATTTTTGGAAAGTTGCTTGGTAAAATTGGAAAAAGGGTAAAAATATTTTGTTCATCTTTGACTTTGGAAAGATGATAAGGTTATGTGTCTTGGTATCATTGTAAATATCAAGTTTCATTAATGGCAAAATGAACATTTCTCATTAAATGAATATTTTATTCATTTAAGCTTAAATAAAGGTTAAATTAACATGAAATTCATTAGAAATTTAATGAAAATTTAGCCATTTTCAGCCAACATTTCGTGCTCCCCATGAACAAGGTAAGAGAATTTTTATTTTACATTTTTGAACAATTTCCTTTGGATTTTGGATCATGCCGTGAAATAGAAAATTGTTCTATTCGAAAAACGCTATCATTTAGTACCATTATTGTTTGCTAATTTGGTTTGTGTTCAAAGATATCAAATTCTAGGGTTTATGTTCACATTAGTATTTATGGAATTGATGAAAGATTTTGATGTTATTGAGATTGTAGAATCATTTCCAAGCATGATTAATGATTAAAATCACTTGTACATGATCATATGAACATATGAAGTTTCGGCCTAACCCTAATCTTGGGAAAATATGCGTTTTGATGAAATTAAGTTAGGGTTTTGATTGTATAGATTTTATAAGTTTGAATCGAAGTTGATTTCATGCTTGAATCGAATCAAAATTGAGTAAAATCATGAAAACCCTAATCTTGAATATACAAAGCATTCGACCTTGACTATAGAGGATGAGAAAAATTATGGAAAATTATGTAGGGGCTGGAAATGATGTAGAAAGTATTCTACAGACATTAGAAAAATTTGGGGATAATTTTGTAATTTTATGAAATTTGAGGGACCTAATCGATAATTTTGAAAAAGTTATGGATTGTTTTGTAATTGTTCAATAGTTAATGTACTTTTATGGAAATTAATGTTTGAGTGTTGAAATTGAAGTTAGGATTTGAAATTGGGATTATTTTGGAAAGCTTGTAAAAGTTGAGGTTTAAATCACAAATATGAAAATGTTGGGAGCTTAAGTGAAAATGTTATGTGAAGTTGGGATAAAAAAGAATTTGAGTGTTCAATTAGAAGTACTAAGGTCAACATTTATGTTGTAACATGGAAATTGTATCGAATAAGCATCAGAAAATTTGTTAGGAATTTATTTTCCAATGTATGCATATGTTAGTAAGATTCTAACATTTGGATTGAATTTGTATATGTTTGGTAATGATGTTCATCTAGAGATTGAGTGATTGAAATCAATATCAAATATTATTAAAGCTAAGGAGAAACTTAAGGATGAAATGGGAAATTCCAAGGAATGTTGCAAGCTAAGGATACTAGGTGAGTACAAATTTAATTTGTACTTATGTTATCGAACAAACATTGGCTTACGATGGGCAAGTGAAGGATTTAATATGGTAAGGAGTGACTCGTAAAATTTTATGTGATTTTTTATGTATGCATATATGTGCGTTTGGTGAGCTAATAGAATTAGTGAACAAGTTGAAAATGCAAATTGGTGATATCAGCTTAGAATTTATGTTCAGGACAATAAGTTTAGAAAATTGCCATAAATTATAAAAAAGGATTAGAGGATGATTTTATATCTTTGGATTATTATACCAGTATAGTTTTGTGTAGAATAAACGGAAACTGATTTCGAGGTATATAAAAAGGATACAATTTTTAACCAAGGATAGGTCAGAAAACGGTGCAGCAGATTATGCTCAAAACAGATTATGTCGGTCAACTTTGAAAATTTACCATAAATTGTACAAATTGAACTAGAAGAAGTTCCTTATATGGATAGATTTTTATTTGAGTCTAGTTTCCATTGATATAAACTAAATAATTTTTAAAGGTGTATATTAATACATAATAATATTTCTTTAAAGGTAGTGAAATCTGTCAGAATATGAAATTATGACAAATTTTTGGATTTAACCGAATTAGAAGCAAAAGATCAAGTTAAAGCTTAGTGAGACTTATATTTTGACTTGTATATAATGCCAAAGTGAGTACAATGCATACATAACATTATACATGGATGTTTTATACATCATTGGGTAGGACTTGCGATAAGTCTACCTTGTTTATATTGGCATGATATTTATGTCATATATCATATATTTGACATATTCTAAATATGTCAAAGGTTAAATATAAAATGCATTGATCATTACATATGATGTTTATCATGAACAAATATGATAGTTAACATGAATGATATTTTGAGTATGAACTGCCCAACGTTAAATTATGATAATATACTTTGCCATGGATGGATCAAATAAAATAGATTGTATGCCCAAGTAAGTCATTGAAGAACATGGTGTAATTAGCATGCCATAGAGTCTAGCAGCTGCATAATCGGATTAACATTAATGTGTAAGGACATTTAGTGCAACATTATAGTGTGTAAGGGCGCTAAGTGGATATGGTGGGCATGACCTTATGTGTATTATGGTGGGCACAACCTTATGTGTATTAGAACTTCGGTGCATATTTGACTCGAATACCCAGGGTATTCATGGATTTACGTTTGGGCTATGGTTTATTGGTTAATAAATGATAAACAGACAAATAAGCTTACGAGCTTATGGGATAAATGACAAGTATATTGGTAAGAAACTTTATATCCGGTTATATCAGGTTAATTTATGGTAACATGGTTGGAATACATGTAAAGTGATCACGCGTGGGAAAAAGGAAGAAAATGAGTAAGGAGATGAGCTTGGCATCAATCACAAGGGAAATATTTATAGGTAATAATGATGACATCCTACTGTGTTCTAAAAGTTATAGCTGACATGTATACGATAATGAAATGTTTGAAATTTCTTAATATAATTAGTATTAAATATAATTAATAGTATGAATAAATATTATAATATTAAATTATGCTTAAATAAATTTAATTTGGGTTTTAAATCAAACATGGTGGACAATCGTATTTATTTTATGAAACAGAACATAACCGTCTATCACTATTTAAAACTGGTTTTGAATTGGTAACCAACAATATTATATTACGATTTTTCTCTAAATAATTATTTTATAATAATTGTTCAAGTTATGAAACTTTAGATGTTTGAATGAAACAAAATTTTACTCAGTTCACTTAAAGAAATGTTTTTGAATTTCTGATATGACATATGTAACTCGTATTGGTTCGTGAATACGGGTTATAGGTGATACATTTATTGGTATCAGAGTTATATGTTTAGTTGATTATAGGACT